GTAAATATTTGGTAACTGCCAAAATTCCATGGTGGATGTCAGAAATTCTCTTTTTTCTGTTTAAAATCCCCTTGATGTCATGTTCAATTTCTTTACTTTTTTCAAGTAATAAAATCAGCCTTGTCTTCCTTCATGAAAAACAAATGAATAGTGCATCATGTTTAGTTTTTAGATTTCAAATACATTAAAATCACTAAAATGAGTATGAATCATAAACACAATGTATTTTTTATTCATCAGAGAAAACTGTAAATTTCCTGTCAACTTTTCTTCAATCCTCTAAACTATCTTTATTACTTCTAAACAAAGTTAGAGTAAATCTCTCTGAAATGAAATAATTTTTTCTTTTTTTTCTGTGACAATTAAAACTATCTTGAGCCTTAACTAACAAAAAATGTAAAACATTTTTGACTTTGAAGAAGCTCAAACCCATTGGTTCAATAGCAGTAAGTGTAAAATAAAGAGTGATGGAGTAAGAGTACTTGTTATCAAATATCATCTTGTTCATTAACTATATGACACAGGGAAAATCACTTAATCTCTGCGGAGCTGTTTCCTCAACTGTAAAATGAATGGGATTTAGACCATTATTTTAGATAGATAGATAGAAAGATAGGTAGATAGGTAGATAGATAGAGATAGAGATACACAATTTTAGATTATATGTTACATATATTAGATAGTACATATGTATGTACGTGTAAGTGTATATGTATATGTATATATACACATACACACATAGAATCTGACATACACACATACACACACATTTCTAGGCTCTTACGTTTATTCTGTGAATAGCCACATCTGAAAATACCTTTCCCCAAACAATTCTGTGTTTTCTCTCTGAAATTCTCAAGTTAACCAAATAATGCTATGATCATAGTATCACAAATTTTGAGATTGAAAGGACACTAGAGGCCATCTAGTTCAATCCTCTCAATGAGGCTTCAGGAGGTTAAGTGCCTTACTGAAGGTTACATTTTCCTATACACACCTCCCCTATCCCAGAGAACCATCCCTTTTAACAAAGAGGTTTTTTTAATTGGCAATATCAACCATCACATCAACCAAGTGGGATTTGAAACTAGATTTTCTGACTTCAAGCCACTTCTAGCTTTACTGCCTCTCTAAATTTCAATAGAGCCTCGACTGCTTCAAGCCAATCATTTTACTCTTCCCTAATCAGTTTTCTATAGAGCTCCACACAGGAGCTGTTCTAAACCTCCTCTCAAGTCTCCCACTCCAAACTTCCCCACATTCCCAGTAAAAAGTCCTTGCCTTTTACTTTACTGAGAAAATAATATTCATAGTGAATTCCCTCTTTTGAACTCTTCATTTCAAAAGCTCTTGATGTCATCCTTTTTTCTCTTTTCTTTTACTCCAGTCTTTGATGGCCCATCTTGCAAAAACTAAACTCTGTAATTATATCTTGGGTCCTCTTCTGGCAAATCTTCTGACAAATCTTCTTAAATATCCCTTTTCTCTTGCTAACCATAGATCTCCCTCTCATTACTAACTCATTTCCTTCTGCCTATAAGCATACTCAGTTCTACCCCATTTTTAAAACAAACAAAAACAAAAAACAGTATCACTTCACACTATGATCACTTCAAGCTATTTTCTAATATCTTTGCTGATTTGTTTTAGCCAAACAACTAGAAAATTCTGACTCTCCTCTTGCCTCTATTTTTCTCCCCTTTCTCTTCCTCTTTAAGTCTTTGCACTTTGGCTTTGGGCTTCATCACTCAATGAAATCTACTCTCTCTTAATTTCTCAATCTTCAACTTTCTTGACCTTCCTCTTCTCTATATTTTCTGCTCTCTGGGTTTTTATGATGCTTCTTTCTCCTGCTACCTGTCTTAACCAGTCCTTTCCAGTCTTCTTTGATGGTTCGTCATCCATATCATGCCTCTTAAATGGAGGTGTACTCCAAAGTTCTCTCATGAGTTCTCATCTCTACATATAGACTCTCTTATCAGCCTCATTGGTTCCATGGGTTTAATTATCATCTCTACGAAGATGACACCCAGACATACTTTTTTTTGGCAAGGAAATAGGGGTTAAGTGACTTGCCCAGGGTCACACAGCTAGCAAGTATCATGTGTCTGAGGCTCGATTTGAACTCAGGTCCTCCTGACTCCAGGGCTGGTGCTCTATCCACTGTGAAACCTAGCTGCCCCTCCAGACATTCATTTTCATCCTTAGTCTCTCCTGAACTCCAGTCCAACATTACTGATTGGACTTTTCAAACTGAAAATCTAGTTATTGTCTCAAATTTAATATGTACAAGACATAATTCATATTTCCTTCCAAATTATCCTTATTTCAAATGTCCCTGTCTCCATCATGGGCACTATCATCATTCCAGTTGCTCAGATTTTCAACCTTAGAGCCATCCTTGACTCCTTACTCTTCCTTATTCCACATATTTAATCAGTTACCAGTTCTGCTCCACAAAATCTCTTTCATGTATTCTCTTCTCTTTACTTAGAAGATTCCTATCCTTAACACCTGCCAACTTCAATGGCTTCTCAATCTGCTTCCAGACTCTCCCCTCCCCAAACCATTCTCTGCTCAGCTGCTACAGTAGTGTTCCTTAGGCTTAGATTTTACCATTTCATTCCCCTTTTCCCACTCCAATGGCTACCTATTGCCACTGGAATCAAATACAAACTATTATTTTGGTGTTCAAAGTCCTCCACATTCTGTCTCCAGCCTACTTTTTCCAGGCTTGTTATATATTACTAACCTTGTTCATTACGGGTCAGCCAAACTTGTTTTCCTTATTGTTCCTCTCACAAAATTCTCCATCTTCTGTCTCCATGCCTTTGTATAAACTATCAACTTTACTGGAATATACTCCCTCCTCATCATCTCAATTCCCCACACCTCCACCTCTTAAAATCCATAATTTTCTTCAAAGCCCAGCTCAAACACTGCCCCCATATGTGAGACTATTCCTGATCCCTCCCAGTTACTAGTGCCTTCCTTCCATAATTACCAACATTTATTTTGCATATATTTCTGTGTGTACTTGTTTATCCCTTTAATACGTACACTCCTTGAGGGTAGGCCCTGCTTAATTTTTGATTTGTATCAGCATGGTGCCTGGTAAACAGTCAGTACTTAACAAATGCTTGTTAAATGAGTAACTGTCACTTAGTTTTGCTTTTTTTTTTAAAAAAAAAATTATTTGTATTTATGTGCTTGTTGACTTGGACTGTACCGCCTTTTCCCATTGAAATTACCGTTATAGTGATCCAGTGCTTCTTGTACAGGAAGAGAGCAGGGCTGATACTGAAAGGGCTATTCAAACCAATACTCAACAATTTTTTCATAGAGGAGAATATAGAAATATGGAAAAAATTCAAATGGAAATTGGTTCAGCCTAGCTCTTCATATTGTAACAAAGGAAAATAGAGAGAGTATTGGATTTGGAGGCATGAGGACTTTGGTTCAAATCCTAATCTCTGACATTTGCTGCATGTATGACCTAGGACAGGTCACCAAATCACTCTGTGTACAAGGTTCTTCATCTAAAAAATGGTGGTCCTGAACTAGGTGATCTCTAAGACCCCTTCTAGATTAGATCTTTTGTTCCTACCACTAACAAAAGATAGTATCTGAAAGAAATTGACAGATAACCTAGTAGATGTTAAATCTTTGGTTGGAAGGGCTCTTAAAAACCCTTTACTCCAATCACTGCCTAATGCAGAAATTCAATCTGTGGAAATCTGAATGGATGGCCATCTAATATCTGTTTGAACTCCTCCAATAACAGGAGGCCCACATCTCACAAGATAATGCATTCCCTTTTGAGGCAGTTCTTTCTATTAGATTGTTCTTTTTGTTGGGTCATTTATAAAATGAAGGGATTGAAGTCAATAGTCTCATGAAGTTCTAAGTTTATGATCCTAAAAAAAAAAAAAGCAAAGTTTAAAAAGGCATAGAGATTTGCTCCAGAGAATCTTTTCTAGGAACAGTCTAGAAACTTCTTTTCTTAATTTTTGACCCATTTCTATTTCTGCGCCAGTAGTTTAGAACTTTTCCTGGGCCATTATTCTCTCATTTTTTCTATCTCTAGGTCACATCTCTGCCTAACCTAGGGTTTATCTATTCGCAACCTAATGACTAGCTTACTTTGAAGCTGTGAATGAGCCTCCCACTCATGCTGTTCTTGGACTGATTTTCTTTGTCTAGTTTCAGTTCTCTGGTCCTTTTTTTTTTTTTGGAAATTCTCATCAAGGATCCAGACTGAAAGTGGTTCCTAGCTCACTTCAGAAAATTCCTCTTTAAAGGATTGTCCAAAAATAGTTTCAAATTCAGTCCAAATGAAGTTGTTGTTGATGAGATTTGTGATATTTTTAAAGTTCTTTCCAGAGGTGTCACTATGATAGACTGTTCAGAAGTCATTAATACTGTGGTACATGGAACATGACAAATATTAGAATGATCCCAGTGCTTTCTCCAAGCACTATTATAATGCTCAGTCAGCATTTCACTCTTTTCCATGTCTGGGTCCTTTTGCTTGTCTACAGTCTCATTGCTATGATTTGTGTTCCCACCCCATAAGGAAGTGTGCTTTCCCTAGAATCCTATTTTATAATTTCACTGTATTCCAATATTTTAAATGAGCACCCATAGTGGAGCCAAATTCCACCACAATCAGAGAAGGCTTATTTCATTACGTGGCTTCAGTTTATCAATGACCATCTTAAAATGTAGTGATGCCAGGACTGAAGGCAATATTCCAGAAGAGTTCAAACTGATACAGATGATATTCTACTTCTATCAAAGTAGCCTAATATTGAATTAGTGGGTTTTTTTTCCTGCCCCATCAAACTATTTACTCATATCAGACGTGTCCTGCTAAGTCCTTCCTACAAAAATTGCTAATATTTATGCCTCTTAAAATTCATTTTGTTAATTTCTATCCACATTGAATCCTGAAAATTCTTCCCATTCAGAATTGAAAGAGTAAGAGATAAAGCACTTACTTGCTACAACGCCCTGGGTAACACTCGACCACTTCCACCTGAATGAGTCTAGCTTGGGAAGACCCAGGCTTAGATTCTTCCTCCTTCTGTGTCTTTTTCCTCGCTGTGGCCTCTCTGTCTTTTTCTCTGCTCTGATTTCTTGACAGGCTCTTGGGGCTGGGGGCTGAGAGATGCAGCCATCCAGCCTGCAGTCAAAGCCGGTCAGCTCTGCTCTGCTGAGTGGGAAACAACAGCTAGAGCAGGCTGCTCAGCAGCTTCCTTGCTTTGCCTTTCTACTAGAGCCCCGCCCTCCTGTGGGTAGGGACTTCTCTACGTCTCCCACCTCTCAAATGGTCACCCAGGATCTCAAGCCCTTCTCCTCCCTATCCCTGCCTGCAGGGCAGCGGCAGTAAAGAGGACCGCAATACTCTTATGTACTTATGGCCCTCTAAAGGGTCATGGAAGGCAAGGTAGGATACATCACTTAGAGAACTGACTTCAGCAGCTTGATGAGCTACTTTTCCTGTTAGAATCTGTTTCATTCAGAAGATGAAACACCTAGCCCAGGGTGCTTCACAAATCTTTGTGAGACTGATCAGCCAATAAACGTTACTAAGTACCAACCAGGCACATTTGTTGTTGTTGTTTTTTTCCAGGAAATATGTTGATCTCAGGACATTTACATGCATCTTATCCTTACAATATCCCATGCACTACAGCCTCTCAAAGGGGTGAAGGAGCCCCACCAGTAAAGATGAGCTCTGGGGGCAACCTGGATGTCCCACCCCTCCCACAGTTGCCTGAAGGATGAAGAGGAGCAATTCATCATGGATGCCCATTTCTCAAAGTTGTTGTAACTCAGGCAGCCAATGGCTCTGGAGGTTTGGCTGTTCTGAGGTTTGCAGGGCATGCTGGAAGGCCTCGATGGAGAGATCATTAGTAAAGGGAATACCTGACAGGACACTGGTGAACATTGGAAAGGTGTCTGAGGAGTGGCCCTGGCCAGGAGTTGTGGTGGGAGAGGTGCTCAAGGTGCTGGCCAGGGCTGTGGCCAGCTCACTCTGTGTGATGGGCTGAGGGCCAGCTGCCCCACTATGCTTCAGAGACGCTGGGAGTGATCTAGACATGTTGCTTGAGGGTGTGGACCTCATGCTTGGATGAAAGTCATCTTTATTATCACAGAGTCCTTCAAAGAAGAAGCTACCTGGCATGTCCCTGTAGGAAATAGAAAGCATGGGGCAGCTAGGTGGCATAGTGTATAGAGCACCAGCCCTGAAGTCAGAAGGACCTGAGTTCAAATCCAGCCTCAGACCAAACACTTGACACTTACTAACTATGTGACCTTGAGCAAGTCACTTGAGCCCCCCCCCCAAATAAAGGAAATAGAAGGCAGGTTGCAAGAGAAGGCATATAGTACTGGGAAAGGAATGCTGCCCACCACCAGTGCAGAACCAGGCATTTACTAGAGCAGGGAGAGCTGGGGTATCCAGAATACTGGGATGAATGAAGACAGAGAGGAGATCCTCATCCTGAAACACCACCAATGCAGTGAAGCCATTGCTGAGGCCTATGGTGGCCACAATGATCTGACCTAGTGATTCTTTATTCCCCAGCATTTTAAAAATTGCATCTTGGTAGGCAGAGATGCTATGTAAGACAGTGTGCAAGGTCTGGAACTCCCTCAGGGCAGATACTTTGTCCACAGGCTAAGTACTGATGTCTGGGAAAGAAAAATTGAAAGAATAGAGGTAGAGATCATGAGAGAAGTGGACTGAGGCAGGACTGCCTTACTTTGTAAATTTGGTGTCCACATGGTGAGCTCAGTAGAACTATGTTGTTCTCTAGGACTTCACCTGAAAAGGTGGTAACAGGGAAGGTGCTGACATCTTGGTGAGACCAGTAGTAGCCTGCTACTGGGGCACATTTGAGAAGAAATCAGCCTAGAAGGAAAGGTGAGAAAGAAAATCAGAATTTTCTCCTAACATAATACAAAATTAAGAGAAGAAATGAAAATCCCCTCCATCTAAGGATAGAAATCAAAGCTTGCCTGAGGGAGTTTAGAAGAGAAAGGCTTATTTGGGGATCTTCCGGTCATCCCAGACAAACTGCAAGCTTTGTTTACAACTTGAAATCAGTGACGGATAAAAAAAAAATAAGATGCTCCTTGCACCTAACAACACTTAAGTGTTGCTTTTGGTAAATAACACTAAACAGTGCCCTTTGGAGTAATTTAGAATGTCAAATCATTGGAGTTATTCCCATTTTTAATAGGGAACAAAACGGGTAAACAATGCCCTTTGGAAGAATTTAGAATGCCAGGTCACTGGAATTATTCCCATTTTTTTTTTAATTAGGGATGATGTATTCCTAGGAGCAAATAACAGTTCAGTATCTGTTTTGTCCATAAAATGGCATTAGTATTGGAGGATTGTGGAAAAATTCTGCTTGTTGAAAGGAGTATTCACCCCTCCCCCCAACTGCTCCTATTAATTGGGAGCATTGATTCTGTTTAGAAAAGAAGTCCTGCCCTCCCCACATTCCTAGGATGGGGCCACAGCTACTAATACAAGAGAGTTGGCAAAATGATTTTTAACTGATCAGAAACCAGAGAATCAAATGAAACATACTGCTCCATGCAATCTTGAGAGTGTTAGCCTTTGAAATTCACAAAGATAGTGATTAATTTTTCCTTCACGTTCCCCCAGCAGCATGTGGCTCAGAATTCTGCACAAAGTGAACACACAGAAAATGTCTATGGATTGACCAGAATGATGGAAATATGAATAATAACAATTTCATCCATACCTGAGAAAAAGAGCTTAAGCAAGTATTATGCACATTAAATAAAATAAGATATTATTCTACTGCCACCTGGTGTTCTAAAGAAGTCTATTAGAGATATTCTTCATTTAATATTAATTAGTTCCAGGAAAACATAATTTTAGGTGAAATGATGATGCAGGGGGCATTCAGTTTCATAGAAATTATGTTATAAATAGAAGATACATTCCTTGCCACCAAGGGAAACCCTCTGCATGCAGCACCCTCGATCCTCTCCCACCTTCTCAAGCAGGTTGCCTCCACTAATAGTAATAGCATTTATATAGCATTTGAAGATTTGCAAAATAATATGCATGTGCACACGCATGTGTGCACACACACATATGTAGTTTTTTTTCTTAATTTATCCTCATACACTTGGAGGAAGGTGCTGTTATCAATTCCATTTACAGATCATGAAACTGAGGCAGACAGAGGTTAAGCGATTTGTCCAGGGTCACACAGATAATAACTGTCTGAAGATGGATTTGAACTCAGGTTTTCCAAGGCCCTTCACTTAGTTGACCTTACCACCTAGCTTCATGTCATCCTCACTGTCATTCTTTTCTTTAATCTATCTCTAGATTTCACCCAGTAGCCCATGTTTCCCCAGTCTTTAAAAAACAAAAAAACAACATTCTTTTGATTTGACCATCCCTGCAAGCTCTCATCCAGTATGTCTCCTTACCTCCTCAATAATAAAAACAAACAAGCAAAAAAAAAAAACTTCTCAAAAAATCTTCTATACTAGGTACATAAAATTTTTCTCTTTTTACTCTCATCTTAACTATAGGCAATATGGCATCAGATTTTATCATTCAACTAAAACTACCCTCTACAACATTTTTAGTGATCTCTAACTTGTCAAATGTAATGGCTTCTTTCCCCCAATCATCATTTTTCTTGACCACTCTGAAGCCTTTGAATTTGTTTTTGTCTAGATTTTTGTGACACTTCACTGATTCTTCTTTACTGCACTGATCACTCCTTCTGAGTATACTTTTTTAAGATCATTAACCTCATGATGTCCACTGACTATGAGGGTAAGCCAAGGCTCTTTCCAAGGTTCTTTTGTCTTCTCCTTTGGTATTATTTTGGTTGGTGATCTCATCAGTTCAATGTGATCCCATGAGTTCAATGATGATGTCTATGAAGCCATTTCTATGGTCTATATATACAGCTCCAGGATGTGGTTCCAGTACCACATGAAAAATACCTGTTGGATATCTCTAACTGGATATCCTGGAGGCATCTCAAACTTAATATGTCCAAAACAGAACTCATTATTCCCCCTCCCAACATTCTTCTCTTTTCCACTTTGCTATTACTTTCAAGGGCACCACAATCTTCCCAGTAACCCCTGTTAGTCTGTATCATTTTTTACCTGTAGGGGACAGTAATATCAAAACTGTAACAATGATCAACTGTGAAAGACTTAGCTACTCTGATCAAGACAGTGAGCTAAGACATTTCCAAAGGACCTGTAATGAAAATGCTATCCACTTCCAGAGAGAGAGAGAGAGAACTAATGAACTCTGAGTGCAGATTGAAGCAGATATTTGTTCAATTTCTTTATATTTCTTGCCTCACCCTCCTCACCCCCACCAAGATAGCTAATATGGAAATGCTTGGCATGACTTTATACATGTATATGATATATTTCTTGCCATCTCAATTGGTGGGGGAAGGGTGAGTGTGAGGGAGAGAATTTGGTATTCAAATTTTTTAAATGAATGTTAAAAAGAAAAGAAATATAAAAAATAATCTGTAGAGGATTTTTTTTGTTTTGAATGTATATTATTATTTATTTTCTTAATTTTGCAAAATACTTGCATCCCTGCTATAATTCCAACTTGGTCATGATGAATAGTTTTTGGAAGTATTTACCAATTTGAATATATTTTAGATATATTATATCATTTTCCACCTAGCTGATCTCCAGGATATCTTGATCTCCAGAAACTCATCATTCAACAAGATGAAACCCATAGCTCCTCCACATGCCCCAACCCAGTGGTCCCTCCCTACTTCTAGTTTGAAAGGGTGGGAGAGCTCTTCTAGACCTCTGTTTGAGGGGGACAACCACGAACTCACTTCATCATTCCCTGAATTTTATGATCTCTAGAAACTCATCATTCTGCAAGACAAAATCAACTCTGAAACTTACTCTTCCCAAATCATTTCCCACCTCAGCTGCAGGTCTTCATCGTATCCTGAACCTCTTGCTGGTAACCTTCATCTCCTCCTTCCCTCAATGTTTCAGTTTTTTATTGTGATCTGTCTTCCCTCATTAGATTGAGTGCTCCTGGAGGGTAGGGATTATTTTATACTTTTCTTTGTATCTTTAAGGCTTAGCACCATGTGTGGCACATGATAGTCTATTAATAAATGCTTATTGGCTCTTAAATATATTGCTTTAGCCT